CTGGGTCTTGTGCCCACCTTGCCTCACTTGCTCACCCCTTGACCTTGTTTGTACTGATGCATATATATATATACTCCTGCTCTTGCTTGTCTAGCCTTATATATATATGTAATCCTGCATGTGAACTGGCCTTGTGGCCTTGAACTTGTGCTCGGAATGTGTGGTGACTTTGTGATCCACCCTGAGCTTGTTTTGCTTTGCTTGACTGGTCCTGTGACCCCTTGTTCTCCCCCACTTTGCCTATGGGGGTGTGTCAGATTTATATGACATAGCTACTGTAGGCTATAGTGGGGTGGCACATATGGGGTTCAGTTTTCTAGGGTTTGCTTTTTGTACCCAACTTTCACTTAGTCATTCCATTCCTCGTTTCTTCTCAACGCCTTGGTGAAGATATATGCAGTGTTGGCCTCAGAGACCACATGTCACACGAGTGCCTGGCCACGGTGCTGCAACTCTCGCAGAAGGAAGTAACAAAGCTGGATGTTCTTCGCCTTCGAGGCTCCTCGCACAACAGGACAGCAAACCTGTTGTCGGCGAACAAGACTGGGGGAGAGCGAGGCCGCTCACCAAGGTCGGTGAGGAGGAACGACAGCCAACGAAGCTCCTGTGTGGCCATGGCCACAGCGTACACCTCTGCCTCACAGCTGGAATTGGAGACGGACGACGCCCGAGTCGACCTCCACGAAACAGCTCCGGTCCCAAGGCTGAAGCAGTAACCCTGTGTAGACCGCAACGACTCAGCGTCGTCGGCCCACGACGAGTCCGAGAAACCTGTGAGTGTAACTAGCTGCTTCCCTCCAAGGACAAGTCCCATGCCTGATGTACTCGCCACATACTTCGCCACCCTCTTAGCCGCGTACCAGTGGGAAGGTCGGTGTCTCCCAGGCGCAACAAAGCGCGCAAGGACGCTAAGAGGGTAAGCTAGGTCCGGGCGAGTATAGGTCGTCAGGTACATGAGACAACCCACCAGCTTAGGATATGGACTACTGGACTCAAATGGCTCGTCCGAAGGTGGAGCCGTGAGCCCATGATCCACGGCAAGACGGGTGAGCTATACCTTGGATAACGGGAAGCGAAACTGCGTGAGGATGTGCTCGACCATATGCGACTGCGTTAGCATAATGGTGCGAGCTGCCCTGTCCCTGGTGATCTGCGGGCCGAGGTAGCGTTGCAGCTCACCAAGGTCAGTGCAAGTGTGTCTCCTCTGCAGTTCCTCCTTCACCCAGGCCAGAACGCGGTCGGGACTGGCGAAGACCAGGCCGTCGACATAAACCAGAACAAAGAACGGGGTCGAGCCACGACGGACGAAGAGTGACGGGTCCGCAGACAACGGAAAGAAGTCAAGTGCTGCAAGAGTCGTACGAAGTGTGTCGTGCAACTCACGGGGAGCCTGGCGCAGGCCATAGACCGGTCGACGCAGCTGCCACTGAGTCCTAGGAGGGAAAGAGCCAGTGAATCCAGGCGGGCGAAGCAGCCAGATCTGCTCATGCTGGCTCCCCTGAAGGAACGCTGTGGAGAAGTCCAAGGAGTGTAACGCGTAGTCACACTGAGCTGCGATGTGCAGCAACACCCGAAGAGTGGTCATCTTCGTGTAGGGAGCGAAAGTCTGGAAGAAGTCTACCCCCTCGCGCTGACTGAAGCCTCTCGCCACATAGCGCGCCTTGAACACCGGTGGTGATCCAGGCGGTTGCTTCACCTTGTAGAGCCACATGCCACTGACGACGTTCGTCCCAGGTGGTGGGACGGCGTTGACATAGGTGCCTGTGGACCTAGAAGATGCCATTTCGGCCTCCTCAGCTGCTATCCAGTACGAAGCCCAGGATGAGGAAGAACACGAGAGCGGAGAATAAGGTGAAACGTGCACAGGAGGGGACGTGGAAAGAGACTCGACATGGGGAACAGGAGGGGACTGTAGGGGCGTGCAGGTGCTGGGTCGAGCAGGTCGCGCAGTCGCCGCTGCACCGCCTCCTCTTGTGTCTGCTGTGACGGCACCTTTCCCTGCTGCTGCTCGTGTGGCTCCTCCTCTGCTCTCTCCTGCTGCAGCTGCAGCTGTTCCTGCTGCTGCGGCCGTGACTCCTGCGCTACCTGCTCCTGCTGCGGCCGTGACTCCTCCTCTTCTCTCTCCTGCTGCGGCTGCAACTGCACATGCTGCTGCGGCTGTGAATCCTCATCCACTCTCTCCTGCTGCGGCTAAGGCTCCTCCTCTACGTTCTCCTGTCCCTGCTGCTGCTGCTGCTGCTGTCGTGCCCTCTCAAACCGCTCCCGCTCCTCCCTCTCCAACCGGTCTAGACGCTGCACACGAGTCAGGAAACATACAGTGCGCGGTGTAGGCGTCGCAGTGCCCGTGTCTCCTCCAGCACCCCCAGAACCAGAACCTCCAGCAACGACACCCCCGGTGTCTCCAGTACCTCCCGTAGAAAGACCCCCAGGCTCCGCAGCAACTGGTCGCAGAGCCGAACGAGGAAGGAACTGTGGGACATATGGGAAGCCAGAAGGTGAGGCGGGGCGAGGCCAGCCCCAGTACCAAATGTTTCTGCCTGCATCGGTCTTGATTTGACGGTTGCTGGTGTCGCTTCGGTTCTTCTGACCCCTCGTCTTCATACTCGTTAAGGTCTGCTCCTGTAGCGTGCAGGAATGTTTACTCGTTAAGTTCATATTTCAACAGTTCAGAAAGTTGCTAAGGTATCGAATGTTATATGAAAAGTCAGGTGATGATTTTCGAGGTTGAAGAATGCAAATAGATGTGAGCGAGGACATGGATAAACATTTTGTAGCAAAAAGATGGTCACGATAACGCGTGAATATAAAGATGCTTTGCAGGCCTAGCGACGAGGGTTGGGATTCGGTTAAGATGCGCGGTTTGGCAATATGGGCCAAGCGGATGTAAGAATGGCATCAAGTGGCAACGGGAACGAATGGTCGTTTGCCACGAGTAGTAACGGAACGAAGGATTTTGCTAAGTTAAGGCAAGCTTATTCCTTATAGCGAACGGACACACTGCTAACGGAGCCCGTCAAATGCGCACACCACTTTGTCCCTGCCGCCAAATCCGCTCTTCGCAGCACCTGCGTGCGTGTGCGGTCGTCGGGTCGAGGGACAGGGCGACGCGTGGATGGATACAGAGCAGTACTGTGCAGGTGACCAACCCCGAAGGTGGCCTGCGGCCGGTCTGATTTCCGCTCCGCTGCGCGGCCTCTCCTCCCCCGTACACCCCCACTATCCCCAGACCCCCCCCCAATTTCCTTTTTGATTCCACCCCCCCCCTCTGCACAGCACAGTACAGTTCACTACAGTGCCGCTAACCGGAGCAGAGCCTTTCCCCCAAGACGCCACTTGTCCGTCCTCTCGCCTCCTTCCTCTCACCTTCTGCAGCACGGCTTCTGTCTAGCACTGCTCCAGGCAAGCTGAGGGGCCACCGAGCCTGGATTGAAGCACGGCAGAATTTACAGAGGGCATGCTGAATCGCACTGTAGAAGGGTAATGTGGGTGTACTATTGAACTGTACACGGGGATGGGGATGCCCATCGAAGGTCAAACATTTTTCTCGGGCGGTTGTTCCACTTCATGCACGCACCGACTTTACAGTGGAACTCCAAATGAACTAGACTGCACGTTTCGAGCGTTCAGAGGTTCCCGGGCTCGTGTCGACGAGCAATGTTGACATGTTGGCTCATCGTTGCACTTTGTGTACGTATCAGAGCATTCTCGTTCGTCATATGGGCAGTGGAGAGCTTCATCCAAACGTTTTGCAGAGCTTCATTTGGGTGTACCGTTTTGGGTGTTCCCTCCATGTGTAGTGCTCGGGTCGAGAAAAGAAGGGAGACCGAAACCTAGGGATGTAGCACTATCTAATACTGTACACCAAAGCAGTGCGCACTAACAGCCTGAACCAAAACGCCCTGTTTCATTCACGTCACAAGAATTGGCTCATCAGGTGAGCGGGGACTCTTGACGTGCATCCTATAAGAGCAAACCGCGAGTTTAGTGACGGCATGAATCGTTTGATCCGCCTTTTTTTATTCTTGGAGGAAGTCCAGCATTAGGACGGAGTGCCACAAAGAAGTGTCTCGGTTGGAAAGTAGTCAGCTCTCTATTAACACCACTTTCCGCGTCTTGCGTTGGTTCCAGCTTACTGAATTCATAAGCGCATGGGCCTTACGAGATCGACAAGGCTCAGACTGACATCGCGAACCATCAGCAACCCCCTCTTAACTTATCGCGACCGCAAACTATCGTTCATACCAAGCGTCAGAACAACCCCTCGAGCCGCACTTAGTCGCGAGAATCTCGTTCCTTGAGACATTCTTGAGGCTATTCTTTCAGTGCTTTTCGCCGACCCAGCACCCTAGTGGCAGGCAGTGAGCCCGCTTCTACCTGGTATGAAATTGTGAGTCTGTTTCACCTCCGCTGCAAAAGTCCCCGTTTGAAGCTCTCTCGGGATGGCGGAACTCACGGAAACGGCACAAGCAGCGGGCACGGCGGAAGTTAGTACAACCCAGTTGGAGGGAGAAGCTCCGGCAAATACGGCAACGCAGAGTACGGAGGCGGAAACATCGGTTGACGCTCCCGCATTAGCAGCGGCAGGAGGGGAAGAAACAGCGGGAGCGACAGGGGAAGCAGGCGCAGCAGCAGCGACAGCAACGAAGGCAGCCTCGGCAGCAGCAGCGGCCGCGGCGGAAGGTCCGGGTATTCGAAAGGGGGGAAGCGGAAGCTCTCGACGCGTCGCTTTCGCGGAGCCCGATGCTCCCGACGCCGGTGCCGCCGCCGGCGGCGCTAATATTGCGGGTGCCGTGGAAAAGGCAGAAGACCGCGACGGTTTCGCGAAATCTCCTAGCGGGAGAATGGTTCCTCAAAGCGTCGCCGCGCTCGAGGCGTTCAAAAAGCGCATCGGCGGCGGCGGAGGCGGTGGGGGCGGAGGCGCAGGTGCAGGAGGAGGTAAAGTGGTTAACGTCGCGCGTCGCATGCGTCGCTTGGCGTCGTGGGGCACGTCGCCGTTTTCGATGCAGTTCACGCGACGGTTCCAGGTCGGCGCGGAGTTGGGCAAAGGCGGGTTCGGGCTGGTGAACAAGTGCAGCGATCTGACGGGCGAGATGGGTTCGCAGCCGCTCGCGGTGAAAACCATCGATAAAGTCGCGATGTACGAGGAGTGCGAGAACGCGGGGCAGCTGATGGAGCGGCACCGCGCGTTGGAGCGCGAGGTGAAGATTCTAGGGCTACTGCGCGACCACCCGAATATCGTGCAGGTGAGGTGGGACGGGCCGGGGAGCGGGGGAGGGTTGAGCTGGGAAGAGGCGGGAACGGGGGAATTGGAGGAGGTGGAGAGCGAAAAGTGGAAAGGGTGGGGGGGAGTGCGGATGGGTTCACGCTGAGTTGGCTTCAGAATGGGGGGCAGGGGCATGATCAGCATAATATTTCAGCAGGCAACCAAAACAGCTCAAGAATCCGACGGGATGTCAACAGGTGGTGCTAGAAGGAATCGAACCATTTTTAGGGCATGCGCTTCGGGAGGCACCGTGGATGCCGCCAACAAATCCCGTTGTCGAATTAGGGTTTCGGGGTTCCTTTTTCATGCCTAGGTTTCCCAGTGGGTTTCGGTTTCCCAGTTGCCCGTTTCCACACCTGCCCTCTCGTTACTTGGTGGCGACGTTGGAAACGACACGGCAGTTTTGCGATGGCTGGAGAAGGTCACGCAGAGTATGATGGGCGGGGCAAGGGAAAGGGGGGAATGGACGGGCAACCTAGTGAGTAGCAAAAGGGCGAAAAACCATGTAACCCTAAATTATATCCGTCGTGTTTCGAAGGGCAGGAACTAGTTGAGGCACTGCTTGGTATCAGACAGCAATGTCGTACTCATCCTCCCCACTTCCCCCGTTCCCCCAACCCCACCCCCCTCCACCCACTCAACCCCCCTGTTTCTTCTGTTTCTTTCTTTCTTCGTTTCCATGTTGCTTGGCCCTTCCATTCCCTTACTCCTCCCTTTTCCTTTTCCAAACTTGTGTTACCCTATCTCTTTTCCCATCCTCTGTGCAGGTGAAGAAAGTTTACAACACTAAAGACAGGTTCCGCGTGGTAATGGAGCTCTGCGACGGCGGCACTCTAAAGGATCACCTTGTAAAGCAGATGGAGGCCGGCACCGCAGCCCGGAAAAAGATCAAGCTCGGATACTCAGGCGGGTTGCCCGAAAAGGAAGCGGTCGACGTGTTTCGGCAGCTAGTGGAGGCAGTGCAGTACTGTCACGCCAAGAGCGTGGTGCACCGGGATATAAAGCTTGAGAATGTGCTGCTGACGCTGAACCAGAGGTTCTGCCTGGACTGCGACTTGCAGGATATAGAGGAGAAGGATGACGTGCCTCGACTCTTCACAATCGATTCAGTTGGAGATGCCGAGGAAATGGCTGCAGGAGAGAGCTCAAGGGTGGGAGACGAGAGCGGAAGGACCGAGGGAGGGGCGTCAGAAGCAGGGAAGGAGACACCAGCAGCAGCAGCATCAGCAGCAGCGGAATCTCTTCCTAGAAGCTCCACTGAGGAGGAGATCGCAAGGCCCAGGCAGAGCAAGTGCACTTGCGGCAAGGTGAAAGTTGCTGGTCCTCCACCCGAAGGGATTCCTGTCACGTCTTGCTTGTTCTCAGAGCTCCCTTTCACGATAAAGCTCGCAGACTTCGGGCTTGCGGTGATTGTCAAGGAAGGGCAGAAGCTGCAAGGTAAGTGTGGCACCGAGGGTTACATGGCCCCGGAACTGGTAACCGGACAAAAGTACACCTATTCTGCGGATGTGTGGAGCCTTGGGGTGGTGCTCCACGCGCTGCTGTTTGGGGAGTTGCCTCGTTATAAGCAGCCCCAGGATGTGGCAAAGTACGGCGTGCCGCCGCCGAGCAAGAAAAAATGGTCGGCAGTGACGGAGGAAGGGAAGGATTTGTACCAATCCATGCTGCAGATTAATCCGGAGGAGAGGATTCAGAGCCAAGACCTTTTAAAGCATGCATGGTTTCAAAAGAAATGGGATGAGGAAAGTGGAGTGGCAGGTGCGAAGGATGATGCAGCGGGCCAGGGAGGAGGCTCCCTGTTTTGCTGCTTTGGAGGATAGTAGGATTTTGTTATGCCAACATAACGGACATTGGCAAGGGTTGGTCATACCGTTATTTAGTTATTTAGGTCGCTATTGATGGAAGATGCTTTGCTGTGATGTTTGCTTTTGATTTCAATAAAATCTTGGGCACTTATTCATTCAAGAGGGTGCATGGTAAATGCTTCACAATGTAAGGTTGTGTGAGAATGAGATAAAGGATGCTCACATGCGACATGAAGAAAATATCAGGACGTTACGAGAGACCTTCGCGAAACCGAAGCCACGGTTTCGTTATTCTTCGCTTACCCCCACTGCAAGCGAAACCAATCTCGCTGCTTTTCCACTGTTCTCCTTCCCCTCCCCTCCTAATCTTCCTCCCTACCTCCAATCGCCACTACTCACAACTATCCTCACCTCACGAGTCACGACGATCCACTTCTGCCACTTTACCCCATTTCACTCTCTGCACGTGTCACCGGCGGATTGGATTACCGCCGTGAATCGCGCAATTCACATTGTATCAGCCCCTCGCTCGCGTGTTCTGAATTCTGGTAGACTTAGTTGCCTTCGAGCGTCATCTTTATCTGTCGGCGAGTTTTTTTGTTACTTTTGTATTTTGAACCTTTCTCCTCTCACGCCATGGATTCATCGTCCGATCCTGCGAGCATGGACACCACGCCATCGCAACCGTCGGATTCGCAACCCAAACCCACCGACGACTCCTCCGCGTCCTCCGCAAAGCCCGCCGACACCGGCGCCGGCACCTCCGGAGGCAGCGAGGAGAACTTCACATCGGAGAAAGAGATCATCGCGAGATGGAACGAGCTACGCGCGGATATCCAACGGCTCTATTCCCGCATCGCGGAGCACGAGCAGGAATTGGCGGAGCACCGGCTAGTTTCCGCCGCGATCGAGGGGATGGACCCCTCCCGCCGCTGCTTCCGCGCGGTCGGCGGAGTTTTGGTCGAGCGGCGCATCGGGGAGGTGGTTCCCGCGGTCGCGCGCAACGCCGCGGCGCTCGACGCGGTGGTTACGCGACTCGCGGAGACGCTCGCGAAGAAACGGCAGGATCTGGCGGCGCTGGAAGCGCGGTTCAATATCCGCGTGCGGCCGGTCGATGAGCTATCGCGGGGGAGGGCCGGCGCGGAGGGGGGCGCGGGGGGAAGCGCGGGAGGCGGAGCGGGGGGAGCGGAGTCTAGCAAAGCTGCGGGAGCGTCGCAAGGAGTGCTGGTGGGGACGAGCGCTGCTCGCTAAGAGGTGGGTTGGAGGGATAGTCCATGGCGATATCCTTGATTAGGGTGAGCGAGTAAATGATTGAGTGAGTGAGTGAACGGGTAAGCGTTTGATTGATTGAGAGTGAGTGGGTGGGTGAGTGAGTGGGAAGGAAGAAGAAGCAAGGTGTGAGTGAGGCGAGTTGGCGTTCACGCTGTAAGCAAAGAAAACCTGGCGCTTTTCTCCTTCTCCTTCTCCCCCTCTCTCCTTCTGCTCCTCCCTCCTTCCGTCCGTCCCTCCTCCCTCATCCCTCCCTCCCTCCCTCCCTCCCTCCCTCCCTCCCTCCCTCCCTCCCTCCCTCCCTCCCTCCCTCCCTCCCTCCCTCCCTCCCTCCCTCCCTCCGCCCCTCCCTCCGCCCCTCCGTCCGTCCGTCCGTCCGTCCTTTCTCCCTCATTCGCAACTCTCACGTCCTTTCTTGTGCGTAACAACTGAGAAGGCCACAGCACACGGGAGCAACGTGAGTGCAAAAGGAATACCCGGCCCTGCTTGCACTTTCCCTGGGGGTAACCCAGTTACCGAGTTGCTCCCCTATGTATCCGCCTAGCCACCCCCTAGCTTCCGCACTCACTACTCTCCTTCTTCCTGAAATCTCGAGGGGGAGTAGGGAGAAGGGGGGGGGGGGAGAGTACCGGCGGGAGGGGCGGAGTCTTGGGGGGGGGATGAGGTGTACCCGGGCAGGGGTGTATTGGGGGGGGGGAGTTTTGGGGGGAAGAGTACCTGGGGGAAGAGTACCTGGGGGAAGAGTACCTGGGGGAAGTAGGGGGAGGGGGGGGGAAGGGAGTACGCGGCTGTGGGCCATTGCATGCCGTAGAACCCCCACTGGGCTTGCATTGACCCACAGGCCAGCCAGCAACGGCTGATGTCTGTGTGTGTGTGTGTGTGTGTGTGTGTGTGTGTGTGTGTGTGTGTGTGTACGCGCGCGCGCGTGCGTGCGCCCACTGAGGAATTGCTTTGGGTGTTTAGTCGATCGATGCTCTGTGGACTGGACCCTCCGTTATCAGACAAGAAAGAAACCCACTTCCTCCTTCATTTCTGTTGTTCTTATTTTAGTTTGTCTTGTTCGTTGGTTTGCTTGTTTGCTTGCTTGTTATCATCCTCCTCTTCTTCCTTCTCTATCTGTCTCATCCCTCTCGCGTTCCCCCCTCTCTCCCATCTCTGTCATTTCCTTCATTCTTTTCAGTAATCTAGACCTTTCAAACCTACCTATCCTCTGATCTCTCTTCCCTAGCCTCTTTTCCAGGATAAATGTCCGTGTTTGTTTAATTGCTGCCCGCAATCCGTTGAGCACCTAACTTCACACGGGTCGGCATGTGGAAGATGAATATTCGTGCTGATTTATCTTACGGTATCACTGCTGCATATTTCTCTCGTGTGGTTTTAACGCATCTGACCGTTTGTCCGTTTGCCCGCTTGTCTGTCATCTCTTACACGGAATGTGCAGGTCAGATTCTAGCTGTCTCTGCCAATCCGTTTCCAGCCATTGGCCATCAAACCTCACGTACCTACACCTCGCTACTAGTTGTAGATTAAACCCTCGCCTTGCAACCCAAGCACAAGGAGAAATCGAAAATCAGTTGCAGCTTTGTTTTGTTTTTGCCAGTACAGTACAGTGCTAGAGAAAGAGACGTGTCTTAGGGTAGTAGTTGCAATAAGGATGCGTATTCTCTGCGATGAAGGATGGTAGTTAGTGTAGGTAAACTCAAAGAAGCTGTCATGTCAAGGTCAAACTGCTACCGATACATATATCGGTTGGTTGGTGCCATGGAAGTACCGGTTACCGGTACTACCGTAGTGTACTGGTATGATGAACCCACCCACCCCACCTAAACAAAATCGGGGCTAGCACCACTGTGTAACGATTTGCCACGTTTTTGCTACACCTGGCAACGAGTAGAGTGGTTAGAGCAAAATCACATCACATGCACTTGCAGTGCAGCTCTTGCATTGCATCTCTCGCTCGCATCGCATTGCGAGTGACCACTGACTGAGATGGAATGTACAGAGCGAAGGTGAGGCAAGGCAAGGCGCAGCACAGCAAGGTGTAGCCAGCCGCGTTGCTGTGAAATGAAACGACTGTCAAACATATGTTTATATATTATAGTTTAGGTAGGCTTTAGTGGGGCACTCACTGTGGGGTACAACCCCTTAGGTTTTACCTTTGTACCAAACTCCTCGATAGTCAACATCACCCTACTCTAACATGGTATTAAGAGCACTTAGGTCTTAGGACCTAGTTTCCTAGTGGGCCCACCGTTACCTCGTTTTTTTTTAGGGTTTCCCCTGCCTGTCGAGCTGCCCCACCCGTCGCGCCGCCCTGCTGGCCGCGCGACGCGCGTTTATTTTCATTTTTCTTCGGTTTTTTCTCGTCACGCCGCCCTAGGGCCCGGCCCCGCCCGTCGCGTCGCCTTAGGGCCTTCGCGCCGCCCACGGGAGCCAGTCGCGCTGCCCTGCTGGCAGCGCGCGACCCCGCCTGGCCCGTCGCGCACCTGTAGGGCCCGCGAGCCGCCCGTCCCTGCCCGCCGCGCCGCCCCTTTTTGGCAGCGCGCGGCTCGGCCCCGACCTCGCGCACCCCTACGGCCCTCGTGCCGAGCTCTACCCGCTATTGCGGCCCCGCCCTGCCCCAACGTAGCCCCCAGAGCAGCCGCCCCGGGCTCCTGCAGCAGCCGCCCCTAGTGCAGCCGCCCCTGGACTCTGAGCAGCCGCCCCTGGACCGAGAGCAGGCGCCCCTGGCCCCTGCAGCAGCCGCCCCTGGTGCAGCCGCCCCTGGACCCAGAGCAGCCGCCCCTGGCACCTGCAGCAGCCGCCCCTGGTGCAGCCACCCCTGGACCGAGAGCAGCCGCCCCTGGCCCCTGAAGCAGCCGCCCCTGGTGCAGCCGCCCCTGGACCCTGAGCAGCCGCCCCTGGCTCCTGCAGCAGCCGCCCCTGGTGCAGCCGCCCCTGGACCCAGAGCAGCCGCCCCTGGCCCCTGCAGCAGCCGCCCCTGGTGCAGCCGCCCCTGGACCCTCGAGCAGCCGCCCCTGGACCCAGAGCAGCCGCCCCTGGCTCCTACAGCAGCCGCCCCTGGTGCAGCCGCCCCTGGACCCTGAGCAGCCGCCCCTGGCCCCTGCAGCAGCCGCCCCTGGTGCAGCCGCCCCTGGACCCTTGAGCAGCCGCCCCTGGACCCAGAGCAGCCGCCCCTGGTCCCTGAAGCAGCCGCCCCTCCGTGCAGCCGCCCCTGGACCCCGTGCAGCCGCCCGCCGAGCGCCGGCCCTGCTCGCCCGGCGAGCACCTGCTCTTCCCGCCACTGGTGAGCACCTGCCTTGTTAGCGCACTGCCTGCCTGCCTGCCTGCCGCGCCTGCCCTGCCCGCCTGCCTGCCTGCCTGCCTGTCTGCCTGCCTGCCTGTCGGCCTGCCTGCCTGCCTGTCGGCCTGCCTGCCTGCCCGCGCTGCTACTGCTACTGCTGCCGCTACTTCTGTTACTGCTGCTAGGCTGCTGCTGCTGCTACTGCTGCGATGCAGCTCCAGCGCCGTCCTTGCGAGTCTCTCACGCCCCAGCAGCTTCGTGAGTGGTACGGTAGTTGGGGTTGTGGCGGTAGCCGTCGTGGCTGTAGCCCTGGAGCTGGTCCGTTGGGAGCGTCTGGCAGTGGCCAGCCGCAGCTGCAGCGGCGTTCGCGAGAGACACTTACGTCCCGGCAGCTTCACGAGTGGTACGCTCAGAGTAGAGGGTCTTTGAGTCCAGTTCGCTGCCCGTACGTCATTCGCACAGGTGATCGGACTGGTCAGCCTTGCGGGACGCCTGGTCACACACAGTCCCGCTGCTTCGCCCGTCTGAGCGACGCCTGGCGTACCGAGTTTGGCGACGAGGCTAAGCTCCCCACCTGGCTGGAGCTGCTTGGACAGAGGGTAGATATCTTTGCTCTTGACTATGATGCTATTCTCACTGCCATGTATGCATTGCCTACTAGTGCCGACCGTGCCTGTTACCTGTGCGTACCACCTGACCCAGGTATAGAGCCTGCTGCTCTAGGTGCTGGTGAGGCTACTGCTCTAGGTGCTAGTGCGTCTCCTGCTCTAGGTGCTGGTGAGGCTGCTGCTCTAGGTACTGGTGAGTCTGCCCTCTCTGGTACTGCGCCTACTGAGGCCTTGTACACCTTCACACTTGACTCCGGTGCCTCTCGCTCTTTCTTTCGCGACAGCACCACCCTCACGCCGCTCAGTCGGCTGGTTCCAGTCTCCCTGGCAGACCCCTCTGGGGGTCCAGTCCGTCGCCAGAGGTGTTGGGTGACTAAAAGTCGAGCACGAATACTCCTTCGATGCTTGTCGCCTTCCCGATGAAGATTCCGTCGTATATTAAGTGGAGTTCGTTTTCGGTTGCTTGCAGGCTGACTCCACACTTCATCAGCTGGTCAAGGGACAGAAGGTTGTACTGGAGCTCGGGTACAACGAGGACGTCGCTGATGTGGATGCAGTAGCCGGTGTCATGTGATTCCAGCTGGATCTGACCGCGACTCCTGGCATGGATGGTTTGGCTATTGGCGACGGTGATCTCCACCTCGTTGAAGAGTGCTTCGCTGTTGAGAATGAAGACGCTTGACGACACCATGTGTTGGCCGCAGCAACTGTCCAGGTACCATTTGTTGACTTCTTTCCTTGCTTTCGCGAGATTGGCGAGTTTAGGTGCCTAAACTCAGATTGCTTTCACGAAGATTAGGTGCCTAAATTTCTCAAAATCGTTGGCTTAGAATTCTGGACAGAAAAGTCGAGTTCACAAGAAACGCCGTCGACGAAAAGTTCACGGTCAAAACTTCACCAAACTCAGATATGTTGTAGCCCTAGTCTGTGGCTACAAATCCCAATTTGAATCGTATCAAGAGGTGAAGTAAATCTCGACTTATCAATTTCGGCGCACAGGGGGGTATGCTGCCATGAGAGTCTCATGATAAGAGTCTCACAATTTCACAATTTTTACACAAGAGAGTTAGAGTAGCAATAAACCAGGTAGG